CTGCGCGTTCCTGAAAGATGTGTCTTTCCAGAGCCATCCTTCACCATGTCACTTCCAAGGTCAGAGTTCTTTAACAAATCCCAATTCTGCTGTAATAAAGTCCCCATTGCTTAGCCTGGCATTTAAGACCGCCTATAATCTGGTCCCAACCTAGTTTTCCAGCCTTATCTCCCAGTCCTCTGCCACTTGAAGCAAACTGGCAGACCCACGGCCTTTGGCATCTACTTGCTCAGTCCTGCCTCCATAACCCTGGCATGTGTTTACCCCATCGTTTCAGCTGTCTTAACCCACTCATTTTCAAATCTGGTCTCAAATTTTCCCTTCCCTTCCAAATGTGACCTGGTTCTCTCACGGAAGGCCTTCCTGGGACATGGAACTTCCAGTCTAAAGTTGAATGGTTCTAGGCCAGGTGGGACATTTGGTCACTCTACCTGTAGAACATGTGGCGATATGGGGCAGGAAAGGCCTTCTTCGTGGATGCCTACTGTGGCCATTAACACATTTTGTAACAGAGCTGGCCCCAAAAATTCTAGAGAAAGGAAGGTGAGTGAGAACACTTACTAGACCTTACGGCTAGGGGCTTGGGACTGAGCCCTTCAAATAAACACACAGCCAAAGGGATTTTACAAGCCAACTTAGATAGTTCCCTTCATTTTGCCTTTTTTTTTTTTAGGTAATTAAGAATAAAATAAAATAATAAAATATATATTGCAAGTAAAGCAATAGCCTCGGTGATAATAATAAAATATATATTGCAAGTAAAGCAATAGCCTGGGTGATGGAGTGAGACTCTGGCTCAAAAACAAATACAAAAAGAAAAACAACCAAAAATTAAGGCCAAACTTTCTAGAGAATTTTGATGCAAAGTTGACATTCAAGATGAATTGTAAAAATTTGGTAAAAACAGCAGCAGATTAAGCAGAGTATTGTGTTAGAGATTTATAATATGTCTTTGTTATATGGTTTGAGAATATTCAGACCTGTTATAGAAGAAAACAAGTGAATGAACTAAGATGTGTTACATATAGACAGTGGTTAGTAAGCAAAGCAAGTCCATGCTAAATGTAGACGCATGTTAAAGGGGATGGAAGGACCAAAAGATATCTAATAATCAAGAAACATTGCATATATATTAGGCATCTGTGGTCAGATGTACTTGTCCTTCCATCTTCCTTTTTTTTTTTTTTTTTTTTGAGTTGGGATCTCACTCTGTCACCCAGGCTGGAATGCAGTGGCACAATCACAGCTCACTGCAGCCTTGACCTTCTGGTCTCAGGCCATGCTTCTTTCTGTGTCAGCCTTGCAAGAAGCTGGGACTACAATACATGCCACCATGCCCAGCTAATTTTTTTGATATTTTTGTAGAGATGAGGTCTTGCTGGTTGCCTAGGCTGGTCTTGAACTCCTGAGCTCAAGCAGTTCTCCCACCTCAGCCTCCCAAAGCGCTGGGATTATAGACTGAGCCGCTGCGCCTGGCTTCCATCTTTCAATAGAGCAAGTGGCTTAGGCAACCTTCTGTATGAGATCATTTGCTTGAACATCAGTTCTTGCCCTTGTTGTAACAGGATGGGCAGGAAAGGCTGATGGAGCAGCTGAGAGAGACAGGATGCATACGTATTGAGTCTCTAGGATTTGGGTAGTATAGTCTAATTGTGCCACTGGCATCTGATCCTCAGTGTGTGTGTGTGGGTATTTTTTGAGTTGGAGTCTCACTCGGTCGCCCAGGCTGGAGTGCAGTGGCACACTCACAGCCACTCCAGCATCGACCTGCTGGGCTCTGGAGATCCTTCTGCCTCAGCCTTCCAAGGAGCCAGAACTATTGACATGCGCTACAACGCCCAGCTATTTTTTATTTTATTATAGAGACGAGGGCTTACCAAGTTGCCCGGGATGGTCTTGAACCCGCAGGCTCAGGCACTCCACTCACCTGGGCCTCCCAAAGTGCTAGGATGACGACAGGCTGAGCCACTGAGCCTGACCTGAACCTCAGTATATTAATGTACCCTGTTTATTTCTCCTGCTCCTCACTGTGTGTTTTTAATAGGTTTAATGAATTGAGTGATATGAACAATTTTATTGGTCAGAGCATCTTTCTTTTCCATGACCTCTGTGATAGTTTGCCTGGCAGTGCACTTGGAGGCCATGTGGCAACAAGATAATTTTCTACATAACATGATTCTATCAGTCATGAAGGTGTTCTATCACCAACTGGCATTATATTATTGATTAAGTATTTAAAAAATAAGTTATATTTCTGAACAAATTTGAAGGTTGAGATAGTTTATAATATATCTTGGTCAACACATTTGTAGCTTATGTTTGTTCAGCTTATTTACAATAGGTGACAATATTGTAATTGGATATGCTTATTATTTTTTCAGTCTTCTCCTTTTTGATGGAAATAGGCACAGTACCAGCAATTACTAATTATTGCATTGCATGGGTAATGCTTGGGAGGTGAATTAGCTATGTGAATGCTGACTCAATAACCACAAATATAATTGCTTTCTGTTGGTGGAAGTAAATGTCCACAGGAACTACCAGACTTAAAAGTAGGCAAAACAGGCCGGGTTTGGTGGCTCAGCCTATCATCCCAGCACTTTGGGAGGCCTAGACGAGTGAATGGCCTGAGTTCGTGGGTTCAAGATCAGCCCAGGCAATGTGGCGAGACCTCATCTCTAAAATAAAAAATAAAAAATTAGCTGGGCATGGTAGCCTATGCCTGTAGTTCTGGCTCCTTGAAAGGTTGAGGTGGAAGGATCGCCAGAGTGGGTCGACACTGGGGTGGCTGTGAGGGTGCCACTGCACTCCAGCCTGGGCGACGGAGTAAGACTCCAACTCAAAAAAAAAAGTAGGCAAAACAGCAACCAAAGGCCTCCAGGACTCCACAGTCTCGATTCTTGGCTCCCAATAGAGTCAGCACTTTAGGATCAAGTTCAATCTCCAGAAAGTCCATTAAATAAATAACTCATTTAATAAACATATTTTTAGAAACTCCTGCATGCCAGATACTAGGCAAAGACCACAAAATCCCTTACATTCCAGGAAGAAAAATAAATAATATGTGAGTGGTCCAATGATAATATAATTTTAGAGAGTGAAAACCCTGAAAGAGAAATTCAAGCTGTTTAATGGCTGAGGAAGTGGCTGCCTGTGTATGGCTATAAGGTGTATGGAATGCTTTCCTGCCATTATTTTGCCAAAATAATTTATTGGGATGAATTAGTATATTGGCCCAGTTTAGTCTGCGAGAATAACTGACTGATTGAAAACATGACCTGAAAAAAGTGACGGGGCAGGGATGCTTGTTTGGGGAATGGATCTGGAAGTTCTTGACTGTAGATTGTATGTCATGGTGGTACTCAGATTTCCAGTTAGAAACATTTAAAGGGGGATGGGATTGGCAGTTGAGGGAAACTGCTAGGGGAGGGAGGGGCATACCTCATCAACAAGGGTACTTGCATGATCAGTGTTTATATACCTAACCCTGAAATGTACCCCACATCTTGATGATAAAAATTTTTTAAAAAGAAGCATTTAAAATAATTTACAATGTTGCATCCTGATATTTAATGTCATCAGACCCTTTTCAACTGTGTCTGGCTACTGAAGTAAATCTATTATTAAATAGGTGTAGTGATTTTTAAAAAATGTTATACTCAAACATTAATTGACAGGCATTAATGGTGCCGTGGTTCATGCCTGTAATCCGGGCACTTTGGGAGACAGAGGCGAGAGGACTGCCCGAGCCCAAGAGTTCGAGACCAGCCTGGGCAACTTGACAAGACCTCATCTCTACAATAAATCAAGAAATTAGCTGGGCACGGTGGTGCAGGCCTGCAGCTTCAGCTACTTGGGAGGCTGGGGTGGAAGGCCTGCCTGAGCCCAGCAGGTGGAGGCTGCGGTGGCTGTGAGCATGCCGCGGCACTCCAGCCTGGGC